GTTTTCTTTCAGGAAAGGATAAGAGACAGTAAGATAATCACCAAAATGCCAGCAATTATTTGGCATATCTACAACAATAATCGCTTGTTGTAAGAAGTCAACTCCTAGCAACGTTCGGCTATCACTTTGTGAAGTTTGCTGATGATCAGGAACCGCAATAAGTTGCGTTGGAATAGACTTATCTTTGATGGTTATTATTAAATTGAAGATCTGTGCCATTACGGCCCTTTCAATGCCATCTGCCAAAGTTATCCGAAGAGACTTGGTTTCATAAGGTATATTCTTCTGTAAAAGTAATAGTGCAAGTTGTGTACTTGCGATGCTTGCTCTAGCTCATGTGTCCAGAATTGCAGAACCATGCAAACCGTCAATTTCTATAGGAACCAAAGGTGGGCCTATTTCTTTATTTGAAATACCATAGTATCGAAAGTCAGAAATTTCTGGTGTTTCACTTTTCGTACTTTTGCAAACTGGACAGTTACTTCGTACGTAACCGACTGTTCCACAAGAGAAACATGTTACTTGAGACTTGGTAGTATTACTTGAAGTGATATATACAGTACTACTAGTAGACGGATCAAATGAAAGTGTTTCTGTCTTCTTTTGACTCAATTTGCGACACTTCTTTGATATGACCATAAGCCTTACAATAAGCACACTGTTTCCTTTGTTTTAGTTTTTGTTGATCTGTAAAACCTTTTCCTGTGGGATTGACTTGAGTAGAAACTGTGGTCGTTTTAATTTCTTGCATCGTAATTTCTAATTTACGTGCTTCCTTGATTAGTCCTTCAAAGTTTGGTATATCATCGCGTGAGATTCTTTCACGAATTTTTAGATGAAGTAATCCATATACCATATCCACCTGGATTGATTCGGGGAGATTGGGACTACTGGGGAGATGAGACAATAAGGCTCTGCATCGGCTCACAAAAAGGTCAGTTTTCTCGTTCTCTCTTTGTTCTCTAGAGAATAACTCACGATAGACTTGATGAGCAGGTTTTGAATACCCAAATATGCATGTCTTAGCGCTTTGATTGCATCATCGAAAGTAGCTGTTGTCTTTTTAACTCCTTGCCACCAAATGGCAGCTTCGCCTTCTAAAAGCATCGGAAAACCTTTCAAAGCATTTTCATCACTAATTTGCAAACAGTCTTTATACACAATAATGGAATCTATAAATGCATGAACATCTTGTTTACTCGTTCCGTCGAAACGATTTGTGCATTTCGAAAAATTTCCATAATTTATTGTTGGCGTGGCAATGTTAGTATTTTGGTTAAACGAAGCGATAAGATTCTGTAACATTTCCGGCGTCATAACTATTTGTCGAATTTCGTCAGCCATCTTATTTACTTGCAAATTAACTTTGGAGTCAGGGAGAACACTTCCAGAACGTAAGTTCATAGACTCGTAGTAAGCACTACAGTTAAACACACTTGTTTGTTAATCTTATGCTGTAGAAACCGATAATTTGTCCATTTACTTACAAAAGCCGGGTGTGGGGTGTGTGTATGGTGAATTAGTTCCAGAATTCACAAGAAGACACACACAAAACACATTTTCAGTTTTATCACAAAAGTTGCTTCAGATAAATGTTCCAGCAATAAGTCGAGACACAACGTTGGGCGCCACAATTGTGAGGTAGGGGTTCAGATATCCTAACCATCAATGGTTTGTCAGTAACTTATACTAGTTTTTTTTATCTTCAAACAACTTTAATGGTAATAGAAGTAATGACAAAACAAAGTATTATTTTATGTCAAAACTGTCAAACGAACAACATCGCCATCTTCTCTGTGTTGGGTATTTCTTACAGTTGAATTAAAAAAAATATGGCTGAGTTTTAAATTCAGCCAATAAACTGCGCTCTGATTTCAGATTATGACCTTAAGGCAAAAGAACATTAATGTAATCAGTGACATCAGAATTAGTTTAACGAGCTTCTGCCGTAAAAAATTATTATTTGGCATTAAGAAAAATCTTGAACAAATTTGAATGGACTATTTTTTCTAATCAAAAAAGAGGTATATTTTGTTGAACGCGGTAAAAGTCCCAAAATCTAATATACAGAGTATTTAATGAAGGGGCACAAATGATACTTGAAATTCCTTAGGTGAAAATAAGTCGATTTAACCTAACATACCTATATCCCAAGTCGCATAATAAAAAAGGTACAGGGTGTCAAAGTGGAAAATAAAAAATGGTTTTTCCTTAATAATTTCTATAATTTTCGTCAGAAATGTTTCAAATGTTCAACAGAGAGGTTTTTTAATGATGGGAAAAATAATATAATAATGATTTTTTAGTGTCGAGTACGAGGCGCCCTCTGCGGGCAAAATTATACATTGAATATGTAATAACTTTTTTGCCAACCCCCGTATACAGCTTTTAGTAACAAAATATGAAATATTGGACTTCTTTGAACAAAAAAAGTATACTTACTGAAAATGGCTAAAGCCAACCGTTGAAGAGATATTTTTAATTTCATAAATTAGTGTTAAGGATTTATACCTCCACGAATATCATAGTTCAGGAGAAAAAATATTGCAAAATACTTATTTCTTAGTTTAATAATGATTTATTAGAAAAAAGAGCAAAACAACTAAAACCAAGAGTCACTTAACAACAGTCAATAGATAATTTAAGAGAAACAATTGGCTGACAATAAAAAACAAGATTTTTTAAAGGATATTTTGGAAGTAATTTCCATTTCCCTGTTAGCTACGATTAAAATTACGACGAACTCTTGAAAAAATATGTATGTCATTCTTTACTTCCTCAGCTGCTGCAAAAATTCTTTGACGAAGCATCTCCATACTATCAATAGGGTTGGAATAAACAACATTTTTTAAGTGACCCCCATAAAAAATAGTCCATGGGTGTGAGATTCGGTGATCGCGCAGGCCATTTGACTGGTGCATCGTTCCCTTGACCAATCCATCTCCCAGGAAAATTTGAATTTAACCATTGTCTAACCGCTAATGTACTATGGGCAGGAGCTCCGTCATGTGCGTACCACATGTTTTCACTAATAGCTAGTAGCACGTCTTCAAGCAATATTGGGAGTTGCTTATTTAAAAATCTCAAATATTCGGCTCCGCCGAGACGCTGAGGAAGAATAAACGGATCACTAAGATAATCTGCTAGGATGCCTGCCCATATATTTAAATTAAAATTATGTTGAAATTTGGATGTACAAACTTGGTGGGAATTTTTGGCAGACCATGAGTGACTATTGTGATGGTTCACTAAACCATGTCTTTGAAATGATGCTTCATTACCAAACAAAATACTGGATAAAATATTTCTGTTTTCCCTTGAAATGTTCATATACCATTGATAAAAATTTATCCTGTTAAGTAAATCCGCATCAGTCAATTCCTGCACAGGTTGTAGATGGTAGGGGTATAAAAGATTATTATTCGCAATTTTCCAAATCGTAGTATGTGAAACGTTATACTGTGTTGCCAATTTTCTGGTACTAGTTTCAGAATTCTGATCTTGTAAATTGCCAAGGACAACTTCTTCAAGTTCTACATCGCGAACAAGACGTCTTCTGCTAGTACAGCAGGAACACGACGATTGGGATATCTGGCATGATAAAGTCGTCCAGCAGCAGCAGAATTACATTAAAAAAAATACTTGCAACATATCGACATACTCGTCATTAGTATACACAATTTATTGTTATTTTATTCAATTCCAAAAATATTTAAAATCTAGGACGCAGGTAAATAGTGACTAAAATCAATTAACACTTATTAACTAATACTTCAAAATTGCAGTTTACGAGTATTATCAAATTACATTTACCTACTCGATTTTTAAATTTATTTAAGCAACTCGAACCTAGGTATTCGTGGAGGTATAAATCCGTAACACTAATTTATGAAGTTAAAAATATCTCTTTAACGGTTGGCTTTAGCCATTTTCAGTAAGTATACTGTTTTTGTTCAAAAAAGTCCAAAATTTCATATTATGTTACTAAAAGCTGTACCTATACGGCAAAAAAGTTACTACATATTCAATGCATAACGTTGCCCGCAGAGGGCGCCTCGTACTCGACACTAACAAATCATTATTATATTATGTTTCCCATCATTAAAAAACCTCTCTGTTGAAAATTTAGAACATTTCTGACTAAAATTATAGAAATTATTTAGGAAAAATCATTTTTTATTTTTCACTTTGACACCCTGTATATTTTTTATTATGCGACTTGGGATATAGGTATGTTAGGTTAAATCGACTTATTTTCACCAAAGGAATCTGGTATCATTTGTGCCCCTCCATTTAAATACACCCTGTATATTATTCTTCTCCATAAGTATTATGTATCGGTTTCCTTGGGGTGGGCCAAGGGTTGTAAGATGTATGGAGGCCTCTAAATTAAGAAAAGTCACGCAGTCCCATATGAAAAATATGATATTATTTCGCTTTTAAAATTTTAACCTCCGAAATTCTGCTGCCTAAATTCGCCTCTGCTTCAAGCAAACTAATACAGAACACATTTTATTTATTCAAATGTATAAACTAGATCCACCTTTTACTTGCAACAAAATAAAATGCTTCTGAATGTATACCAAAGAATATTTAATAGTTAGATTATTTTCAAATTTCTTAGGAGCACCACATATACAGGTTCGGAAAGTCCCCATGGTACATCGGCCGTTACGTGAGAGCGATAAAGTAAGTCATAGAAATCCGTGCGATAGACAAGGATGGTTACATTGAAGACGTTTCATGATCTGATAATAGTCAGTCCCACTTCTAACCCGAAACGGGCGGTGACTATTCTGATTATGAAACGTCTTCACTATAGCCATCCTTGTCTATCGCACGGATTTCTTTACTTTACTTTGTCGCTCTCTTGTAAAGGCAGATGGACCACGTGGATTTTCCAGCCATGTATGTTCAACTCTGGGTCTGGTAGTTCATTTACTACAAACAAAAGTTATGTTTCTGTGAATTTATATGAAATTTAAATTTTTACAGGATTAACATATATGTAGATACTTAAAGAAAGATAATTTTACAAGACTAAATTTATTTTATGTCTTGAGAATATAAAAAATACATAAAACTATAAATACCATATACCTAAGCACAAATTATTAAGAACATTTTTCATATAAAACAGCTACATGTTGTGTTAAAGGTGTACGCGGTGTTTCCATCAAAACAGTATATTCCAACTGCCCCCCTTCATTTAATTTGTAATACCTCTGGAGCCGCACGACCTTTTGCCTAACAAATTTCATATGTCCGATGGCGGAGGTATTTGTAATTATAGCATTATCTTTAGCAGTGCCTTCTTCTACAGTAGCGACTCCAAAACTTTGTGCTATAAGAAAAGACACTGAAACCTCATCTTCATCAATTCGTAGGAATCCGCTTTCTAAATGCATAGGTGCACCGTTTTCTGTGTTCCATGTTAGGGACCTATAATTTAAAAACGGTTGACCCAATGAAGTAAAACTTAAATTTTCATTGTAATTTACAGGACTTTTCATTGTAGGATAGTTTACGACGGCTGTTATGGACTTCCACTCTCCAACCATCCAAGAAAGCGATTTTAGTTTTTCATGTATTTTGCCAATATTCATTGGCATTCTTATCGAGGGCACCATAGCTGAACGAAATATGTATATTTACCACTGTATTTGAATATACTGAAAAAGAATACATAGTGATTCAGTTAATTAAAACTTAATTAACTGGTAGTAATAATAATTTGATAATAATAACAATATAGGTACCTATTTAGGTATCAATATACTCGTATCACGTTTCAAAAATTAATTTTTCGGTCGTCGCTGAAATTCACTTATGAAATTTGGCATAGGCCTTTAGATTATCACATGAAGGAATATTTTTTTCTTCGTACATATTAGAGTGAAGGTTTAGGGGCTACAGTTTTTTTTAAATAAAAAATGTCCGAGCCGTTTTAGGTAAAATAAATACATTTCTCTGTTTCTTGTCGATATAACTGATCCGCATTTTGTATGTATTTCGATCATGAATATCAAAAACGTCACAGAGATTGTTTTTCAAATTTTGTTTATACATTTATTACCAATTAAATAAGAAAAAAAATAAGCGATTGTTGGCCAAAACTTTTCTCAGATGGTCCTTAAAGGATTTCGTCACCACTTTTCTAACAAACTTTTTTTCTTACTTTATTGGTTTAATGAATCAGTAAAATTAATATAAATAATCCATCACATTTTTGATTCTCAGAAGTGTTTAAAAACTGTTTGTAAAGTTTCTCGAACACCTGTGTTTCCTAAATTTTCAATAAGTTAGCACCTGATGAAATCATAAGGGTGTCCCGAAATTAGGGGGCTACAGGGTGTTCTATGTCGAAAAAGATTACTTTTTCTTTATATAAACGTGGGTCCAAATATTCTTCCTAAGGAAGTTATAGTCACTTAAAGGGAACACTCTGATGATGTTTTTTTACTAAATAACTCCGAAATCAGTTGAGATAAAATAAACTAGCTTAACTCTTACGTGCTCAGTCTAGTAAAATGAAATTTACAAACTTTTTTTACTTTTAACTGAAAAGTATGAAATTTCAGTTTTTTAGTAAAAAAAAGTTACTCTAGGTTCACATTGGTACAATAATGTTCTATTTTTGTGTAAAATCCGTTTAAAAATAATGTTACATGTATTAATCACCGATAATCGAAATTGTCAATATTTTTTATCGTCGCGTTTGGCGTCCTTTGCATTGGCAGTAGTTATTTACTTTCACAGAAATTTATTATTGTTTGAGCAAATGCTCAAACAGATTTCCATTTTGCTGAATACATTTTTCAGCTAGACGTCGAATTGCCCGAGGAGAACTCAAAAATTCAAAATTATTTTGTCTGATTTGATTCGCAGCCAAATAAATGACACCAAACGCATTTGCGACGATAAAAAATATTGAAAATTTCGATTTCCGGTGATTAACATATGTAACATTATTTTTAAACGGATTTTACACAAAAATTGAACATCCTACTAATATGAATCAAGAGTACCTTCTTTTACTAAAAAACTCTGAAATTTCATACTTTTCAGTCATAAGTCAAAAAAGTCAATGCATAAAAAAATTATGGTAAATTCTACGCGTACTCAGCACGTAAGAGGTAAGCTAGTTACCAAATTTTATAAATTTATCTCAACTGGTTTCGGAGTTGTTTAGAAAAAACCATCATCAGGGTGGCCCCTTTAAGTGGCTATAACTTCCTTAGGAAGAATTTTTGGACCCACGTTTATATAAAGAAAAAGTAATCTTTTTCGACATAGAACACCCCGTAGAAATATTGCCCCCTAATTTCGGGACACCCTGTATATGTATTAGTAGTCTTTTAGTGTTTTTCAGAGAAAAATTATTATTTTACCAAATGTCACGGATTTATTTTTCTAAATTAAACCTTTTTTTTCTAAATAAAACTGACTACATCCTGCATCTGCGACACTGTGAATGAGGAAAAACACTATTTCTCCATGAAATTTATACAATCGATAATAATAATCTAAACACTGTACCAAGTTTCGTTAGGATCCCATTTCCTCTTTCAATTTGGCAAATATTTTAGAAACACCCTGTATATCGTACATAATAGGGCAAACATTTAAACAAATCAACAGAAAATTTAGGATTGGGAAAAATGTATTTTGAAAATTCGTGAGTTGCTCTTCTCATTAAAAATAAGATTTGTAATTGTAACAAAATCTCCAACCAATTTTTATTGGAATTTTTTTGTGAAAAAGCTCTCTTTCTTTTACTTCTTCGTTCAGGGAAATTTATCTCAGCCTACTCTCTTATGGTAGCTATAAGCATGCAAGTAACGCAACTGACAATAATTTTTTTTTATAAATTAAAATTCTTAAATCACGTTTCTGTCCTATCACAATATTTTTTAAGATTAATATAATAAATCAAATAAAGTTATTGTTTTAAATACTCTAATCTTTATAAATTAAACAAACTGTATTAATCTTTATAAAGTTATTGCGATAATTAATTCTGATTATATAATACATTTAACGAAATTTATAATCTAAAAAATACATAGTCATGTACGATAAATACACTAAAGTAAATGGCTGAAATAAATTTTACTTACAATTATGTTGATTAGGTAGTTAGTACCAAGAAGAAAATCTTAATGACCTTGGCAACGAAAGTAACACAAGTATTTGATGGATGAATATAGTTTATATTTTAACTGACGGTCAAATGTCTTGAGATAATAAAGTGATAAGTTTTTGCAGAGTATTTCTGCGGTTAGAGTTTGATTAACGTAAGGAAATATATTAGCCCGGGAGGCAGCGACATTATTGATGTAATTATTCCTACAAAGCTGATTTTTTTCTCATTTTGTTGTTTTGATATCGTAAGTAAACGGAACGGCAGTCTACCGCGCCAATGTAGGGGCAAACGTTAGTAACAATTTTTTAAACATGTAAATAAATAATACTTAAATGCCTTATACCTACAAGGCTGAAACTTTTTAGAGTGATCAATTATACCTAAAAATACAGTATAGTGATAGTCTACCGCGTCGGAAGGGGGGCCATCAAGGGTCTACCACCCACGCAAGGTGTTGAAAAATTAACTTTTTTGACTTATTTCTACAAGGCTGAATTTTTTTCTCAAATACTTTAGTTTATAAGAGAACCAAAAAAAAAACAGTCTACCGATCATCTAAGGGTGCAAAGCCTTGATAGACGCAATGGAATGCACGATCTCCCGAGCGCAGTCGCTGCGCCGATTCACTGTAAGCCGCTCTGAATAATAACTCATACCGGGATTAAATTACAATCTACAAAGCTGCTTTTTTGTCTATAGATATCTTACAATAATTATTGTCAAATAAACGTCTTATACCTTCGATACGAGGTGGCTAAAGCTTCGGTAGACGTGGCGAAAGTTTTTGCGCGGAAGTTGCTTAAAATTCCAAATTTATTATTAATTACAGTTTTTTGAGCTTACACCATTATTTAAACGTATGATATAGTAACAACGAGCGAGCGTTAGCGAGCGAGATTTTTGCTAGTATAATAGGTATTAACAAAAGTTCAAAAATTTTTTTTTTCAAATAACTGACCTTTTTCTTTTTTAACATTGAATAATTAAATTTATTTCACTTTTACTTATAATTTATAACAATAATACTTTTCGATAATAGCGCGCGAAATGCTTGATTTGCGATTCATCATCACATTCGTCAATTACACTCGTGCGAGAATTATTCTATCGCACTAGTATCGAACAATATTTTACGACACTTATTTATAAAATAAATGATAACAACGCAAATGTTTTTTATTACAACAATATAGTAATTATATAAAAAATAAATATATTTTTCTTATTCCTCATCGCTACTGACATTTGATTCCTCATCGCCTTCCATATCATCACTATCTTCATCCTCATCATCTTTCTGGTCACACACTCCATCATTTTCTTTAAGGTATTGACAACCGTCATTTGCAATTTCTGTATCTGCAAATAGCAATATATTATTAAATATTTATTATATTATGCTAACATAAATTCACCCCCTTTAGGGTCTGAAAGTCATTTTTTAATTGAGTTTTAGACCTCCTTAAAATGCAAATATGTGTACCTGAATCTTTATCGTTCTGTAGATCAAACGTCACATCGATCAGTGATGTTTTTGAAAGCTTACAAAACTACTAACGATAAAATCTTTCGTCAAAAGGTCAAGAGTTTCGATGCATCTGCTTTACCACCTTGTCAATCAGAGCTCCGAGAACACATACTCCGAACAGCATATATTGCACAAATTTGGAGTAATGCTCACTTAAAAGAGCCTACAACATTATCCCCACTCGACTGTGGCTGGAAAGTGGATGAGAATGCAAGATATGATTTTAATTGGTTTAGTGGCGACCAATTGCCTCAGTCAATCGATGATGTGACGTTTGATCTACAGAACGATAAAGATTCAGGTACACATATTTGCATTTTAAGGAAGTCTAAAACTCAATTAAAAAATGACTTTCAGACCCTAAAGGGGGTGAATTTATGTTAGCATAATATAATAAATATTTAATAATATATTGCTATTTGCAGATACAGAAATTGCAAATGACGGTTGTCAATACCTTAAAGAAAATGATGGAGTGTGTGACCAGAAAGATGATGAGGATGAAGATAGTGATGATATGGAAGGCGATGAGGAATCAAATGTCAGTAGCGATGAGGAATAAGAAAAATATATTTATTTTTTATATAATTACTATATTGTTGTAATAAAAAACATTTGCGTTGTTATCATTTATTTTATAAATAAGTGTCGTAAAATATTGTTCGATACTAGTGCGATAGAATAATTCTCGCACGAGTGTAATTGACGAATGTGATGATGAATCGCAAATCAAGCATTTCGCGCGCTATTATCGAAAAGTATTATTGTTATAAATTATAAGTAAAAGTGAAATAAATTTAATTATTCAATGTTAAAAAAGAAAAAGGTCAGTTATTTGAAAAAAAAAATTTTTTAACTTTTGTTAATACCTATTATACTAGCAAAAATCTCGCTCGCTAACGCTCGCTCGTTGTTACTATATCATACGTTTAAATAATGGTGTAAGCTCAAAAAATTATAATTAATAATAAATTTGGAATTTTAAGCAACTTCCGCGCAAAAACTTTCGCCACGTCTACCGAAGCTTTAGCCACCTCGTATCGAAGGTATAAGACGTTTATTTGACAATAATTATTGTAAGATATCTATAGACAAAAAAGCAGCTTTGTAGATTGTAATTTAATCCCGGTATGAGTTATTATTCAGAGCGGCTTACAGTGAATCGGCGCAGCGACTGCGCTCGGGAGATCGTGCATTCCATTGCGTCTATCAAGGCTTTGCACCCTTAGATGATCGGTAGACTGTTTTTTTTTGGTTCTCTTATAAACTAAAGTATTTGAGAAAAAAATTCAGCCTTGTAGAAATAAGTCAAAAAAGTTAATTTTTCAACACCTTGCGTGGGTGGTAGACCCTTGATGGCCCCCCTTCCGACGCGGTAGACTATCACTATACTGTATTTTTAGGTATAATTGATCACTCTAAAAAGTTTCAGCCTTGTAGGTATAAGGCATTTAAGTATTATTTATTTACATGTTTAAAAAATTGTTACTAACGTTTGCCCCCACATTGGCGCGGTAGACTGCCGTTCCGTTTACTTACGATATCAAAACAACAAAATGAGAAAAAATCAGCTTTGTAGGAATTGGTGCAAAATTTCTGTCGCTCTCTCCCGGACTATATGTATTTATCGCATAGGTACGGAAAACCCAACCCGAATCAGATGTAAATTGCACAAATTTTATTACCTATAAACTGTACGATACATAATTTATCTTAATTTTAAAATATACCATTGTATAAAATATTATTAACAGATGTATTTAAAAAAGTGTAACTGTTAACAAATTGCTTTATTATTAGGTACAGAGCCTTAATAAATGATTATAAGCCATGTGACCAGTAATTTTGTTTGAAACAGTAATTTTACTTCCTTCATGTTGGCAATTAAATTTCGGTAAAATTAAAAATGACAAACTATAACATCAAGATTACATTAAAACACAACATTCTGTTTCACGAGCTGTGTTTAGTGTAATTTTTCGCGAGATTCTATTCAACCAATCAGCGATAGTATTATTATTAAACCAATTATTAACTTTGATGACGCCAGGATTAAGGGATTTTTTATTACCAGTACCAGCCCTGTAATGTTGGATGCCTAAGCTCGGCGGTTAAGTGGTTTGTAAACATTTATGAATGCTTTGTACAAATTAATACATTTTTTTATACAACAATTGATATCTGGACAATCCATGCTCTCTAAGAAAACTAGGCGAGAACAATTTTTAGAATGTGGAAAATTAGAGATAAAAAACCTATACAATCCTTTAATCAAGTAACCCTTATACTGTAGTAATTGCTAAGTACGTACCTATTGAAATATCTGCACAATAATCAAGCTCAATAACAGGTGCGAGAATCCAAATTTTGCCGTTAATAGTTATCAAAAATCAGTTTATTATTATATTTTCCTGAGTGGTTTATAAAATGTACTCTCATGTATTCATAGGTCCTAAGTACAGTGTTGGTAGAGCACCGTCACTGTAGCTCCCTCTAGTGAATAATATTTTTCCTTCTTTCTGATATTTTTCCCCTCCAAACCGGCCAGACCCCACACACGCAATTTTTTAGATTGTGATAAAGTTTAATCAGGGAGCTAATACATTATTTTATTTATGAAGTGCGTAATATATTTTATATTTTATTCTTAATTGTCCTCTTGACTTGGCTCTTTCGCAAAGTATTTCTCAATTGTACAGACTATCAAAAAAAAATTAATAGGACTAGTGTTTAAAAAAAAATAAATAAAACTGAAAGTAAGAACGATAAGTGCTCGGAATGACCATGCTTATAAGCTCGTCCCATCACTTAGGAATTCATATGAAATTTAGGTATTACACTTTTTATGTAGGATTGTTTACCGACACAGGCTATTTTCAGATATTTCACGGATTTACAAGAAGATTTATAGGTTTTAAATGTTTTAAAGAGAAAAAATATTATAAGGTTGATGGATTTACAAAAAATAAATTTCATTTGGTATGGTGAGCCCCTTTCTGAAAATATTTCATACAATTAAAGAGGATCCCTCGAATTCATCTAGATCGACAATGGTCAGACGAAAATTCGAAAAAAAATCTAATCCCTGGACTACTTTAGGCAAACAATTTTTCTTTAGCAAAATTATTCGTTGTGGCGTAGATCACTTTCAAATATAATATAATTATGGAGTCCAAAGGAAAACTATTTTGTCGGTAGAATTATGGATGGCGACTCATTTTCCCTCGCATAAAATTGTGTATGGACTTGCAGAAGATCTATGTGTATGGGGTGTAAAAGGGCAAAAACTGTAAATTTAAATGAAAGAAATTTTAACTTTTAGACGACCTGTGAAACAATTTTCCATTGCTAAAATTATGGATGGGGGCGCAAGGTACCCTCTCATAAAATTTCAAAAAGAAAACTTTCAGAGGACTATCGGAAAATAATTTTTCGTGGGGATGCAGATTATCTTTATATAAAATTTGATGGGCTTGCAGAAGGTTCCTGGGGCCTAAAGGGCACAAAAATTGTAAATTTAAATGGAATATGGAAATATCAAGGGAAAGTGAAATCATATCTGATAACTAAATTCCGCTGTACTTATATACAGGGTGTCCCGAAATTCATGCAACAAAATTTGGTCACAGATTCTTAAAACAAATTTAGGGGACCCGTATTTTTTATTTTTGCCAAATGACCCCCTCTTTCGGAGTTGCAGCCCCCTGAAGTCCGCCCCTAAGAATAATTTTTTTTTTATATCTCAGAACCCTATTGTACGAGAATCACTAAATTTGGTACACAGGGGTTTTATGACATGTGGAATCTGATGGTGCTACGTTTTTTGGTAGGGAAGACAATTTTTCGTGGGCCCCCTTGTCTTTGGAGCCAAAAAAATTTGGTTGCATATTTAAATTTTTTAAAAATTATCAGTTCACTAGAAAGCCATTAAATTTAGAAACTTTTTGTCTCTTTATACTTTTTCGAAAAACACAATGTTTTCAAAATGTTAAAATGTAATCGAATGCATATCGTTATTCGCAATTTCCCTCAAAAACATTGCATTTTACGAAACAAATATCAAGAGACAAAAAAGTTTCTAAATTCAATGGCTTTCTAGGTACCTAACTAATAATTTTTAAAAAAATCAAATTTGCGACCAAATTTTTCTGGTTCCAAAGACAAGGGGGCCCACGAAAAATTGTCTTAAGGGGGTTTCTCGTCAAAAAGCATAGCACTGTGAGATTCCACATGTCATAAAACCCCTGTGTACCAAATTTAGTGATTCTCTTACATGGTTTTGAGATATAAAAAAAGACTTCTTAGGGGCAGATTTCAGGGGGCTGTAACTCCAAAAGAGGGGGTCAGATGGCAAAAAGAAAAATTATGGGTCCACTAAACTTGTCTTAAGAATCTATGACCAAATTTTGTTGCATGAATTTCGGGACACCCTGTATAGTTACAATTATTTATCTACTTACCTGCAAAAATTTATGTTTTTCCCAGAAATAATTAACAGACTCGGTACTCAGGAATTTATAGCAAATAATTCCTATAATTTTTTTTTTTACGAAACAAATAGTTTTAGCATTATGTAATTCCAATTTATTCAACTATGTAAAAGGCTTATCTTAAATTTAAAAAATTATTTCACAAAAATGGATTGTTTTTTCAATAAAATGGAAGACATCTTTGTTGTTAGAAACACCATCCAGAATTAAATGCACTTATTCTAACTCAGAAAATATTTGGTAAAGTTGAAATTCTGGGGATCTTAGTGGTTATCTCTGCCACTGGTTCTCAAATTTGTATACCAACCAGTGGCGGCTAGTGCGGGAGGTTCTGGGGCATCGCCACCCCTGGAAATTTTCATAGTAAAAAAATTTAATTTACAATGCTCTGTGGGTCATTCCATGTGAAACTTTTAATTTTTCAAAATTATATTTCGAAATATATTTTTTTCATAGTATCCTCTTTAAAATAAACACAAGCTCATTTCTGTAACTATAATAGTTTTCGAGATATTTAAAAAATAAACTTGAAAAATAGTGAAATTTTGAATTTTGAATAAGTAAAAATATTTTTTTTAATTTTTTCCCTTTAGCATATCTTTGCTTTATGATAAAGGAAAACTTTTGACCAAAGGGTCTCACCGGGTTTCCACGTGAAATCTGCACTGGCGTGTTTTTTAACAATAGTGTCTTCAGTGTGTTGCTTGTTGATAGAAATAACTTTTGACCAATTATCAGAGCTCTATCTTTGCTCATTTTTAAAAAAATGGGGTTGCAACCCTTAACTTCAAAATCATTTTTCTATAAAACTATGATAGATATTTGAATAAATCCAACGGCATATGAAAGCTACTGATAAGAATTATATTGCATATTTTTTCCATAGTTTTTCAACTATATAAACAGTGAGAAAAAAAAAATTGAAAAAATGAAGGGTGTTTTTTTGTGGCTATTTCTCGAGATACACTAACCAAAAAAATCACGTATAATCAGTGAGTCTTAAGCTACAATGCATAGCAGTTACATAGATCTGCGATGAGTGGATCATATTCAAAATAATCATTTTATGTTGCTAGGTACAGAATTGTAAACTGATACTTGTTAAAACATTAGAATATACCACGACAGTGATGTGTGAGATCTTTGTGAAGTTGCAATATTTGTGTAAGTTTTAACTGACGTATTACACTTACAGATGTTATATAAAAAGATATCGCACATATTCGGTTGGATATAATTTTGCATATTTTTCATTTTGTTAAAGCCTTTATATTATTGTAAAATGGAAGACAATAGCGGTATACAAAATAAATGTATTAACTGTAATCGAAATAAAAAAAAAATTGTTGGATTTTCCAACAATTTTTTTGGTATACATAATAAATGTATTAACTTTAATCGAAATAAAAAAAAATGTTGGATTTTCCAACAACTTTTTTTTTATTTCGATAAAGGCTTTAACAAAATAAAAAATATGCAAAATTATATCCAACCGAATATTATACTCTCTAGCCTTATTATAGCTTCAATTGATGTGAAAAGTACATATATGTAATGTCGAATATTTTAACCAGTTTTCACAATAATGATTTTTTTAATTTTCAACTTACAATAAAATCTTCGGTCACATATTTAATATTTATTTATAATTATTTTTAAAATATAGAAACGAATCATTCACCCGTGAACAATGTAGAACTTAACCTCTGCTTGACTGGATCAGCTGTTAGCTTGCGCACGCGCAATTAATTTTTTTCCATTTGTTCCAAGGTGAAATTGGGATACAATATTCGTACCATTGTGAGTCTACAGGCATACTATAAAGATTTAATTTTCAGACTAATTATGACAAAATCGGATACCGATATCTTTTTATATAACATCTGTAAGTGTAATACGTCAGTTAAAACTTACACAAATATTGCAACTTCACAAAGATCTCACACATCACTGTCGTGGTATAATCTAAAGTTCTAACAAGTATCACTTAGTTCACAATACTGTACCTAGCAACATAAAATGATTATTTTGAATATGATCCACCTATCGCAGATCTATGTAACTGCTATGCATTGTAGCTTAAGACTCACTGATTATACGTGATTTTTTTGGTTAGTGTATCTGGAGAAATAGCCACAAAAAACCACCCTTCATTTTTTCAATTTTTTTTTCCTCACTGTTTATATAGTTGAAAAACTATGAAAAAAATATGCAATATAATTCTTATCAGCAGCTTTCATATGCCGTTGGAATTATTCAAATATCTATCATAGTTTTATAGAAAAATGATTTTGAAGTTAAGGGTTGCAACCCCATTTTTTTAAAAATGAGCAAATATAGAGCTCTGATAATTGGTCAAAAGTTATTTCTATCAACAAGAAACACACTGAAGACGCCATTGTTAAAAAACACGCCAGTGCAGATTTCACGTGGAAACCCAGTGAGACCCTTTCGTCCAAACTGAAAGGGGTCGATTCCAACCATTGGTTGATTTGATATGGAATGACCCATTTCCATAATTAAAAATGAAACACATTAAAAAAGAAAATGTTAAATCGACTTACAGATTTCATTTGACAAACACCAAATACATGGGCTCCTCATAGCTCTCTTCTAAATCTATAGCGTTTGCAGCAGTGGTCATGGTTACTGTCACACAGCAATGAAAAACGGAAAAACCATAACCAAATAATAACTATTAACCGTTTGTTTTTCTTATTAAATGTAATTTGTTTAAAAAATGTGTAAAATTTTGTTAACTACATATTATTTCTTGTTTTTTAAAAAAATTAGTTTAAAGTTTAAATTAGATTGTAGACAGACTAACAGAATTTGCAATGAAAAAATATATTTCGAACAAAAGCAGAATAGTTTCACTATAAAAAATTTTTCGCTATATTTCAATAGTACTTAAAACTACCCCTATTATATTTGATTTTTTTTTCAATACTCGATCTGTACCTAAATTTTTCCACTATCTCTTTTGTTCATAATTCACTTTTAATTAATTTATTATGAAAATTTACAGGATATTAGATAAATATATATGAGTATGTACCATCTCAAAAACAAAGCATTATATGGTCTATATTTATATGTACTCTTTTTCTTATTTTGAGGCAAAGAGCAAGGTTGAGGAAAAGTAAGAAAAAAAATACAAAGTTACAAAGTTACAAGTTAAATACAAATGCAGTCACACGCATTTACATTTTATTAAAAACGAATTTAAATAAAGTTTATACTGACAATAATAATTTTGTAAATATGAGAACGTAAAAAATAACAATTAAATATAGTAGAAAAATGGGGTGAACATTAACAACTTACATTTCGTAGGGCACACATTGTAAGCAACACTCACATAAACCTATTTTGATAAACTTAACTGAATAATAATTAAAATCATTATGTTGCTACAAGTTATAAAAATTCCATAACTTAAGGCGATTTTGATTTAAAAGGCGATAAATTTGCTTAGTATTCGTCTTCGTCACCAACACCGCCTTCTATCTCGTCCGGCGGAGCAAAGCCCTCCTGAAAATTTGAAGACTGAATCATAGAAAAGCTGAACCCGTCAAAGGTTACAGAAACGTTTTTTCAAAAATTATATCCTTATAATCCTATATGGGACTATCCACGTCAAATCGATCAAGCTTGTGCCCAAAATTTGAGAGCACCTACGAAGATGGTTTTTGGCTTAAAAAATTCGTCTTTCCAAGTACTTTAAGATGCTAATTGGCAGAATTGAAAAATCCAAGATGGCGGATATAATATGGCGCCTAAAAGTATGAGAAAAATAAATAATCGTCCGATAAACTTCTCATAGTAATCAGATTAACCACAAATTCATACCCAAATAGTCTGAACAGGTGCCCTTGACATCGTTGGACATGAGTATGGAGTTATTTTTTAAAAATTCAAGATGGCGAATTTCATATAGTGACTTGTAAGGCTAAAAAGCCTGAAATCGTCATTCAAAAAGAAGTGAACTGTCAATTTCATCCATAAACCTTATCTGAACAGATATTTCTCATGTTTTTCAGGTCGCTGAAACGTGACGTTGAGTTTGTTTGATAGTATATCATATATCGATTCTAACCGCAAAAATATTTGAAAAATCTCGATACTTAAGCCAAAAACCATCTTCGTAGGTACTCTAAAATTTTGGGCACAGGCTTGATCGATTTGACGTGGATCGTCCCATATATATCCTTACTCTCCCTTCATAAATCACAGTGAAAAAAAAAAAAAACGCCCACAAATTTTTCTTTTTAAACAAAAAAAAAATTGACATGTTTTTAAGAAATTTGTAACTTCTGAAATAGTAAGGGGTACATAATTTTTAAAATGATCACAACGTTCAGGATCTTTACACATAGATCCTATGATGAAATTTAAGGAAGGTAATTCAAAATAAATAAAGTTTTGTCAAAAAATACTTTGTTTCTGAAATACAAGGTGCTGAAAAAATTGAAACTATTTAGCTGTATCTGGAGAATTCATATAGCAATTTTTTTTCCATTTTGACATGGAGAGTACTAATGTGGACCAATTGCTCGAAAAACAAAAATGTTACGCCGCTGGCTATTTAAAATTTTCAATGATTATTAGATGTAAAAGGGATACCTGTACTTGTTAGATGTTTATAAAAAATTAATGTTAAATCAGTGTGTACAGCAGAAAATTCCAGAAAAAAATGGATTTCAATGTTATACTGCATTTACTCGACAATTAACACAAACTTTGCCTCTATTCGACCTACCAAGATATAAACCTTTAAATGTCGGATCAGAATAATACTTTACTTTAAAGGATTACAGCTTATTTGATTAAAAATTAGGTTGCTCTAAATCGTGCAAAATATCATATGGTACTTTAGCAAAGAAATAATATACCGTGCTTTCACGGGAAAACACTACATAGGAGGTGCCTCGGTCAAACTTGTGCGGCTTCAGCGGTGGGGATGTCGATCTCTGCGTGCGGCGCTGTGGCGTATGTGATCACATCTCACATCAGTCAGGTTGCAGCACCCAGCGCTCCCCACCCTTCCGAATTTACGAACTCGAATGAAGCTAATTCCCTATGTAGTGTTGTACGGTGAAAGCACGGTATAATTCAAAATACTCAGCTGTATGTAATTAATAACTGCAATCAGTGCCTGATTTACAGTGGTGGGGGCATGTAGGCTGAAAATTGGTGGGGGCCTATTCAAATTTTAAGAATAAAAAATTATATTTTTCAGAATAATTTTTCTTTCTTGTTCATGATGGAGGTTTTAAAAAAAATTAGTTTTCATAAAAAAAATTTGTGTTAACATGGTGGGGGCCCCTAGTTGGTGGCCTGTATGCTGCAGTCTACACCAGCTTATAGGTAAATCAGGCACTGATTGCAATAGAAAATTAAAATACATTTCTCTCCAAAACTATGTACTTTAGGAGGTATCTGCTTTATACAGTAGCATAGCATTTATTTTTTTATAAAAGAACCCCGAACTACCACTGGTTTTTACATGAAATTGTACATAATGATGAAATTTCGCCATGTCAAAATAGAAAAATTGTTTAATGAGTTTCCATGATATACACAAAAATGGTTAAAATTGTATTCAACTTCCAACACCCTACAACTCGGAAACAAGCATTTATGGGCTAAACTTTGTACTACTTCCCTTAATTTCCTATGTAGGACAAATTGGTGGCGTTTGGACCATTAGTAAGTAGGTATTTTCACAAATACTTAGTTTTTTGGGATACAGGATGGTACGGATTTGTTTTATTAGATAATCCATTGTGTACATTCAACACTTTTTTTAAGAACCGAACAAATGTACAAAATAAATAAATGTGTAACACAAAAGTTGTACGATTTTTTATGAATTTTTTCGAAAATGATAGTTAAAACAATTGAAGACCAAACAAAATGACCGCTTATGTTAACTTTGTTAATTTAAATGGAACACCCAGTATATTTTTACGATAACTTTTTTTTTTAATTTTAGTGAAGATAATCACCTGTACCTACAATTTTGATTGTAGGACATAGCAACAGCTTGCATTATAAAATTAATGGATTTGAAAAATTTCACAATATAATTAACAGATATAATGTATTAAGTTTTATTACATTTTTAAGTGGAAGTTTTAAAAACATAGATTTGGAATGTTTTTTGTTTAAATAGGCATTTCTGTCACACTAAAAAGAAAAATTTTAAATAAATAATCCCTGGCACCAAAATTATTATCAAACAAGTTTTATAAATTTAGTTCGGCCCGTACGAGATATTTCTGATTAGGTAGAACTAAATTTGGAAAATCAACCTTTTGACTGAACTTTCTGGTGTAAGACATTATTTACTTTATTTTTCGGAGTGGAACTGATACTCAAATAAATTCAACAAACAAATAATTACAGATAATAAACTGTTCATAATCACAAGAACAATTTTTTGATCTTAATAACTTCTCAGAAAATTTAAACTGATCAAAATATGAAACAAACATAAAAAACAGGGTTTATTTCATCAAGCAAATTTTTTGTACTTACCTCAGTAGCATATAAAACTTCTAATATCTTTTGAATAATAGGATTTCCGTCTTCACATTCTTGACACATTACTTCTATATCTCTAAGCTTTCCAAAATAAAAATCTCTCTCTTTTTCTAAACCTTCAACTGTTATCTAAAATATATTAATTATATAGGTACATTAAAAATATAGACATAAATTAAAAACCTAAGTATGTATAAATGATTTCAAATTTAGGTCCAGTATTTAGAGGTCCAACTGAGGCCGAGTTATAGCATGATTATATTTTAACTTAATCATCTCAACTCCAAATACTGCTCCTAAGTGAACTCAATTTTGTAGTTTTACATATGTCGTTACCATACCTTGAACTCAGAAATTTGATTTGTTAATTCTTCCATCTTTCCGTTATCTCCAGCCATTCTATTTGGTACTGGTTTAGAAGCAGTTGGTCGGACTGTATTTACTTTGGGCACTACAAAGTCACGCAAAGGTTTAGCACAACATGAACACAAATATAGCATTTTTTTTCTACATTGTTTTTCTGGTGATTTTGATGTTTAGCAAAGCATGGTGAAACATGGAGACAGGGAAGCGTTACATACACTGATAATACGTATAAGCTTTTCTTTTTGCATGTATTATTTTGGAAAAAAAATTGTATTTGTCGAGCACATTTTCATAAATCTTCAATCATCATAGTTTTCCAGGCCAAAGTTTCTTAATTTTTTATTATACATTCTTTTTATACTAATCAATGATATTAACAAAACAAAATTGACGATACTACAACAGTTTGTACACTTCTTTAGGTACAGTTCCAAATATTAAAAAAATATTAATTTCTAAATTTGATCTATTGCCCAGAATATGAAAATTGTAAAGTTGTCTATACATGTTATATTATTTTTTTGCTTTATATTTTTTGAAATTGTACAATTATACTGTGATATTTAAAAATATAAAAAGCCGAAATAGAAACTCATAAATTATTGTATCTTAGAAATCTACGAGTGTTTCTTTTTATAGAAGTAAAAGGATATGACTGGTCTGAAGAAAATGATATAGATGTAACATAAAAACGTTAATTATTTTAATGGTTTTGTCTTTTAGATAGAATATTTTGTTATGATTACAGTGATACAGTCCATACAATATTTGTCGAAATAAAATTCCAGGAAAAAAACCAAAGAAACACGCCTTTGTAACTGCAAAACACAGTATGCACTGCAAACAGCTAGGGTGAACGCCACACCGCCTTTGTCTTTTTACCTCAGGTGTCTAATGCAGTTAATTCCAAGAAAATGACGGAGGAGTCTTCTTGGAATTCTATCGCTACAATTATGGTACGGGCTGTACAGCGTTTGATAGTACTATCTCAAATAGTAAGGCCAATATGTCCAAAGGAAATGTCATAAGCATAAGTCCAAAGGCCCCCATATACCTTGGAACGTGCATTTTAACACTCAGGTTGCAATATGGAGTCAAAAGATTTGTATCAGTCATGACCAGCAGGGACACAGCATCCACAGTCGACAATTCTGGCACAAGTTTCAACATTTATGAGTTCATTGGAATTGAGAGGAATTCTTGTTTAAACTCATACATTTGGAATACCAAATCCAGGCATTATGCTGGTAGAAAGTCATGATTCAATGTGTATAGAGCAGCTAATACAGATGCCATGTGTCATGATTCTCAGGTTAATGCATGTATCGCTGCATGTTTCAATGTGTATGGGGGCTTTGACATATTAAGGTTATAAAACACTTTATTAGATATATCTTTACTATTAAAGAACCTTACATCACTGTAACCAAAAAGAGTTCCATTTACTAAAATCAAGTTCCCTGTTATACCTGAAAAATTAACAGTGGAAATGAATGATCTAGAACTGGATTCAAATCCTGAAATGTGCAAATCAAAAGAAGAATACACTTGACGTAGAATGGACTGGAATTATGTAACAGCTCTGAATGAAATGGGTTCAATTCTCCGTTACACTACTTTGGTTTCATAGTCTCATCAGAACAAACATATCTATTTACCCTCAAACGTAAGTCAAATTTGACATCAATCGGACAATTCATATAAAAGTTAGAGTATACCTTTAAAAAAAAATTCTTTATATATGTAATTTTGAATGTTCTTGGGCCTTATTTAGCTAAAAATAAATGATCATAAGACATAATTACATTTAAGAAACTCTGGCCAGGGAAACGATTCCTATTATATGGTACAATAAGCAATTAATTCATGAACATACTAGCTCGACCGATTGGTTTTGACTTTGCTGGTGATGGGGGTTGAGCAGCGACTGGTTTCCTGGCCATCAGAGAATTTCCTTTAGGGGCATTGGCGCCACCGGCTCCCATTCCTTCGCCACCTCGTGCTCCCAGGGCATCGTATTCAGTTCCCCGGTAATTCGCATCAAAGAATTTCTTGAACCATTGCAAGAACTCAAAGTTGTCCTGGAATCTACCCTTCACCAACTTGTCTATTGGCACTATCTACATTTCCGCCATGACAAGGCAAAAAGAAAAGAACAAAATAAAAATAACGCCAAAGCCGCACGGTGCACTAGGGGTAAAATAAATATAAATGGGGACAATGTTCCATGGATACCAAATGAGTTTCAAGGATTATCACATTACAACATCAGGATTTGTCTCATATTTTTTAACTACAAAGACAATGTAAGGACCCAACCATATCTATTATGTAAAAATTTTGAGGCTATAAACATTTTTGATGTACATCACAGGATAACAATCAATTCCATCTAATTATTGTAGATATAATAAAATTGATTTAAAACCATAAGTATAATTGCAATAACTGGCATTTAATTTCCACACATATATTTTGTAACACATCCCAATGGAAAATAAAAGAACATACAATTCTAGACACAAACCACAGAACATTGCACTAAAGGATTAGTAGTAAACTGAGATAAACGATAAATTCATTCCCGATACCATGCCAAATATTTCTGTATGCACAAGCATTTTGAAGGGTGATTGTTTGTAATATTACCCCTGATTTGCAAGGCTTCGAGAGATGAAAACTTGAAGCCATAATTTGAAGGTTTTATTTGATAGATATTTAAATCTGGTGACCCTGACCCCAATTTTCATCAATCTAAATGGAATAACTCAAGACCTATTTGAGGTAATGTGACATTTTATTTTAATTTAAGCACTCTCAATAATGAAGCATTCTATGACCTATGTTTATACAACCTTTTTTTCTTAGAATGAATCTTTTCTAATGACATAAACCTGACATATGTATCAAATTTGAAAAGTATATTACTCTTTATTTATATCAAGACAACACTTCCCGTTGGAATCATGAGAGACGAACGTATACATAAAAATTACCATCCCTCTTTGTGCTAACTAATAAATCAAAATTTAGACATAATACATATCACACACAAAAATTGCACAACTTTGGGTTGCATGTCCTTGTATATTTTTTATTTGATATAATTTATTTATACAAGATGTCTCATTAAAACTGCAACATAGGTCTTACATTTCACTGCATATTGAAAAATATATCAACTATAAGTTTATTTAGAAAAATTTGATTTATTTTTAGTTTATCTTAATATTAAAACAATATTTAGTGTAGGTTCATTTTAATTGAAATGGCCCATCATACTTTTTTTAACAATTACAGTAGAGTTCAGTTATAACATTCAACAGACAGTAAAATTGTGTCATACTAACGGACTAAGTAATAAGCAAAATGAATATTATATATGTACCTGTGAGCCAGCACCAAAGTTTTAGAAAAGGGTCATAGTATCAATAACCGAACAAAATAATTCAAGATTAGATTATAAATGACGTCATAATAATCAAAATTGTTATAAACGAACTGAAATCCACAATACGAGGTCAATCATTAAAAAAGTCATAATAACCACTGTTAGATGTGTATATTAGTATATTCAAGAACAATGCCACAAGATAATTTCAGCGATTCTAAAGCAGTTTTTTCACACAACTGGTGCTGATGGAACTAACATTTTTCTTTTTTGATAAGTTAGTATGTTAGTGTTTTAGTTATGGAGCCAACCCTTTACAGTAATTAAACTTTAAATTCAAATGCCAATTAATGTGTGTGCTAACTAAAGGATCTATGATTTCCAAAATTTTCAAGAATTCTTTGGATAGACAGCTGTTTGATATTTTTCATATAAACCCGAGACTTCGGGTATTTATAGATAATTGCAAATCAGCGGTATTTCCCGAAAACCTACTCTACAGTGACAGACAACAGCTTTCATTTTCTTCCTCAAAGCAATGAGTAAAAATGGACAGTACACAATTTAGATGATCATTATCGACCTATAATTTATAACTTTTAGTTTTTAAATATCTCGTTTTGTATATCTCACGGTGATAACGATCAACTAGCCAGTGTACACTGATCGCAAATGAATGAGCGTTACCCTGTCTATTCTGTATATGAGGTTTTTGGGTTGTATGATGTGGAATAATTCCACTTCCGTGGCTATTGTTGTTGGCAGCAGAGCCAATCATGATGCCACCCCTTGCATCTAAGCCATCATAGTCCCTCCCATCATAATTGGCATCGAAAAATTTCTTGAACCATTGCAAGAATTCAAAGTTATCTTGGAAACGGCCTTTTATCAATTTATCTACAGGTATAATCTACAATATTTTATGTAGCTTTTTATTTTTTACAATAATAGTAGTTTGCTTCCAGTTGTTTCAGTTAGCAGCCATCAAAAAATGTATGACTCAATTCAATATCATAATATCAAAATGGCAAGATGAAAGAATTTTAAAAATCAGTGCAAATACATTGAAACAAATATATTGAAGCAATCAAATACTGAAATAATATTATAGGCAATTGGAATACATAATAAAACAGTACAATAGAAAAAAAAAAACAGAATAAGGCATTGAATTTTGTATCTGAATTTTAAGGATGTAAATGCTGAATTCTTTTATTTGACAGAAATTTACTTTAGGTAGAGTGAAAAAGATAAAACTCCACATGGTTAAAACCCTAACTTTCTATTACTTTTAATTTTGAAGATAATTTTTGAAAGCAACTCATATTTTTTTTAAACATGTCAATTCAACAATATACAACTGTTTCCATTTGAAATAAGTAGGGTGGCACCTTCATTAAAATAAGTGGCATGTAGACAGAGCAACTTTTGCATATTTCCTTTTATTTTGCTCTGCTACAGAATTAGAGGCCATGGTTATACCCCCCTGTATATTAATAATAACAAACATAAGAAAATCCCAAACCAATGGGACACTATAAATATTAAATTAACTTTTCTGTTTATACAACAAACAGTTAACACATTTTTTGTATTGTTTTTCAATTTTTTAGTCTTCATATTTTAGATATTCTTACTTAAACTTAGAGTTCAATGTGACTGATCCTTAGGATACATTTTTTTTAATTCTAATTTTCAAATTGAAAAAAAAATGAATTACAATTTTCTTTAAGAAAATGACAAGCAGCTGACTAAAACAACTAGGGTTTAGCAGTTACTTAATGATAAAAATTATTACCTTATCTACCGACATCTTTTTAAAGCTAGCCTGTAATATTTTGAAATTCTGAATATATTCATGTTCTAAGTTTGTTTTGAACTTGACTCTTTTGAGTTGGACAGATCCAGGAAATAACATATCCATGAACTGACAATAGGCTGCGCCAGTACATAATTCTTCAATTTTACCAAAACTACTTTGTAAGCATTCGTTCACCCATGCCAACATGTCATGGCGTGACAGATTTTCAGATGTGACATTCGTTGAATAAACATTTACCGCCATTTCTGAAAACAAAAATTTATGATTCATTATAAATTAAGTTTTATGTCACTGTCATCTTTAGTCTGCAGCACTACAATCTTCAAACTGATTTTAAGAAAATGTATGTACCTTAAACAAGATATAAAAACCTTTATTTCTTAAACCATTTTCACTTTAATGGTAAATGAATGGATTCTATTCTATTTTCTATTCAAATAGTTCTTATAATTATGAAGCGAAATTGATTCATATTGTGGAAATAAAAATAAAATAACTTTTTGTTCCTAAAATCTATATTATCGAGACCGGATATGCATCGGCGTACGTCATCAATACCAAATTTGTACTTGGTGCACTTGCTTAGAAAACCGGAAATTGCGGTATAATTTGTAGAAACTATAAAATTTGAACTAACCGATAAATTACTTGGAACAAAAAATTATTGCATACCGGTTTTTTTTTCAAGATGTCCCGTTACCGACTACACATTAAACCAACGCGCAGATTCTAAAAATAAAACAAATATTTTTACTAATTTTAAACAACAGAAAAGAGTTTATAATTGTAACGAAAAATACTGCATTAATTAACACGTTCATATATTCAACCCCAAAATTTCTAATATTCAAGGCATTCTCTAACATTGACATTTCAATTTCTAATGTCATTATCAGTTATAGATTGTCTGCAGCAAATAAAATGTTAATAACATATTTACTAAAACTTATGTAGCACGAATAGGTAATGTAAAAGAAAAGGAATACTTACTTGAATTAGAAAATGCGATATTCCAAACACAAAAATATCTATTGGGAGTGGTTCAATCAACACAGAAATTCATCACCCGGCCAATCGGCCATTAGACTAAAAAAATTGACAAACATTAAGAAATAAAAATCACTATTTTCTATTTTTCTGTTCATGGTGATTTTCTACTCAAATTTAATATCATAAAAATTTTAATATTTTTCATTAAATTAAATTGTAAAGTATATGAAGAATATTATTTTAGCTTGTCTGAAATAATATACAATTCTAGAGATAACAAATTTTAGAAAATAAAATTTAAGTTGGTATTGGTAAACTGGTTTAACGAAAATTGAAAATTTATTTAATATCTAACCTAACCTAACGCCTAACTTGTTTTGTTTGTCAAATTTTATTATAAAATAAGAAATGAGTTTTTCTGATGATATTCCTCCCGTTTTACCTGACATAGAAGATGATTTAAAACAATTTCTTTTATGTCCTGAAAACCTTCCAATTCATCAATATGAGAGAAATCAAGAATTTTGGCCACGAAAACCTAATCCGATAGAACTTCTAGAATTTGATGTTTCTCCACCATGTACAACATTAAAAGTACATATAAATTATTAATCAATGTATATGAGTTCTTCTTCACTATATTTACAATTGCAGGTGCAAAGAGATCCTAATACGGGTGAAATTATTGGATTCAAGGAGGTACCTATTCAGGGTGCTGGGGCTACTGCAAAAAATTCTATGTCCTTAAATAGGACACCGCTTCCTCCTTCGGAAGCAACTAAGGGAAACGCATTGTTTATGCCATTTTTACCTGGTAGTTTTCCTAATCCTGTGTTAAATCTACCAAAAGAAGATATTTCCAATACAGGTATTTTTAATTTTAAAATCTTTTTTATATAAGATTTTTTAATATTAAATATTTCGTAATGATTTATAATGTATATTTTAGAACTCTTAACTGTTCCACCAGGATTTGAAGAGGGACTGGTTTTTGCTGAAGATGGAGTTACTGTAGTAACGGATTCAGATATTGCTATTGGAAAGCAAATTTTAGATGATTCTAAAAATATTATTAATCTATTAGATATAGTACAGAAAGAACAATATTTATTCGGTAAATATTCATTGTTATTTTGATTTTTTATATATTTTTTTTAATTAATGGATATTTAGATTCTTGGGATAACAGAAAGGAAGAAAAGGAGGAAGAAACAATCGAGTTTCCTTCTGAGACATTACCTGAAGAAGAGGAAATTTTGCCTAAAGAAGAGCTAATTTTGAAAATCAGTACAGTTCCACCACAAACTGAGTGGAAGGGAAGTGAATGGGCTATATTGTTAGATGCCACTAAACCTGTAAAGAATTTTAAAGAAAGAATTCCAGAAATGGCTATTAAATTTCCATTTGAACTGGACAACTTCCAAAAATTAGCAATTTTACAACTAGAACAGCACAATCACATATTTGTTGCAGCTCATACATCTGCTGGGAAAACTGTGGTGGCAGAATATGCTATAGCGTTATCACAGAGACACATGACGAAAACCATTTATACTTCTCCTATTAAAGCACTATCCAATCAGAAGTACAGAGATTTTAAATCAGTTTTTAAAGATGTTGGACTTATAACTGGAGATTTTCAAATAAATCAGACTGCATCTTGTTTGATAATGACTACAGAGATTTTAAGATCAATGTTGTACTGTGGCAGCGACATTACAAGGGATTTAGAGTATGTTATTTTTGATGAGGTAAATATACAAGAAAATATAAAAAGAAACTTCCATAAGTCTCCTTTCAGGTACATTATATAAACGATAGAGAACGTGGACATGTCTGGGAACAAGTCTTAATCATGCTACCTGCCCACGTGTGTGTTGTTCTCTTAAGCGCAACAGTTCCAAACACCATTGAGTTTGCCGACTGGCTTGGTAGGACTCATCAGAGGAAAGTGTATGTTGTAACTACATACAAAAGGCCTGTACCTCTTCAACATTATCTGTATACTGGCACAGGAGGAGGTTCAAGAGACAACAGATTTAAAATACTGGATGCTGATAAGTGGCTAGTTAGTGGGTAAAAATTCAATATTATAATCAAATAATTCAAAGTTAACAAAACATATATTTTGTATTTCAGGTATATGAAAGCTAAAGAGACTATCAAACCAAACAACCAGAAGATTATGTATCAAAAGATGACTCCAGCGCAAGAGAAAAATCTTTGGTCCGGTCTAATTGATCATTTGAAACGTAACGACTTATTACCGGTGGTAGCATTTACTTTCTCTCGGCAAAAATGTGACAACAATGCCAACAATCTAACGAATTTGGATTTAACAACTCAGAAAGAAAAGGCACATATAACAATGTTCTTTAATAAATGTGTTAGGTGTCTTAAAGAACCTGATCAGAATATTCCGCAGATACTTAAAATGGGTGATATTTTAACTAGGGGTATAGGTGTCCATCACAGTGGAATTTTGCCTATTATAAAAGAAATTGTGGAAATGCTCTTTCAGCGAGGTCTAATAAAGGTATGTTTGCAAATAAATTTATTCAAATATTTACGATATTATTATTAAAACGTTGTTTAATGAAAATATGAGACATGTGTCTTATTTATTTTATCTACAAGTGACTGTAATTTTACAAGTATAAAAACGAAATATGTTTCTTTGATATGTGACAGTGGCGGCTTGCCAGGTGACGCAAGTGACGCACCAATTCACCTAAAATTTCCCTTGGTTGTGCAATTTAACATTATTTTTAATTTTATATGAAATTTATAATTTAGGTATAATTCTATATTGAAAACAGTGGCGGCGCGTGAACATTGATTTAATGTGTTCTGCTTAGGGTTGTTACATTTGTTGAATTGAATTCTGGAATATGAAGTGCCCGGAGTCTCTAAATGGCGCCGTATGCGAAAAATTTTAAAATTTTCAAGGTCACGCGTTTTCCTGGCACTTCTGAATTTCAAGGAACAACCCATTTATACAAAAATACAGATTTTCACAAGAATGATTTTTGAAATTGATACCTTTTTGAAATATCTATTTACGAATTACCTACTGATGGTATAAATAAATTGGAATAAACTAAATATATTTTATTAAATTATTGAATATTGTTTATAAACATAAAAATCGTTTGTGAAATTTACCAACGATTCAACGAATTTTAATTTTCCTCGGCGTGTTATGATTTTTTCTTTATCTTTTTTTATATATATGTAAGTAGATTATATTATATTCCGGGAGTTATACGTGCAAATCCGAAATCCGGGACCATACAGCTAATTCCCGGTACAATCACAGAAAATCCCGGTCATACCCATGTGGGTAGATGTTCTTTTAATATGTCGTCAAGATCTGCACTAAAATTTATGAGTCCACGAAACACGTCAGGGTTGTCCGAATTTTTGTCTCGTCGTGTCCGCGAAGTGCTAATTCGAAGCTCCGCAAAATTTTATGCAATCTATGATTTTAGATAATACATAATGATTTTTCATTACCTGTTCATTGTGTTTCCGTATATTATCCCAATATTTCAGAATCTAACTGACTTCTTATGTTTATTTTACCTAAAGACTTAATGACTTAAATCTTTCACACTGTATATTGTCCATGCTTTATCCCCACCGAAAAGTAAGCACGGAAAACAAAACAATGTATTTTTTAAATCACACCCGCACACCCACTCTGCTTTTGTGTATACATTATTGTTAAATTGTCTTTTATAACTTTTACTTCGGCTTGTTCCACTAACTTCAAAATTTAATTGTGGTGTTGGCCCACCTAATTCTTTTATTTTTAGTTTATCCTCATAAGGCAGAGAACCAAATAAAGTTTTTTTTTTAAATGAAACGCTATTCATTTTAATAACTATAATATCCGTAGCCGCCTAAACGAAAATATTCACACGAGCCGCTCGCAGAAATAAACCACCACATACCACGTACGAAATATTACTGCAGCAGTGGCTCTCGCTGTTGCAAACGCAAAAGCCTCTATCTTGGTGTACTGGGTCACGTGCCTGATTCGCCAATAAAAACGAAGGACGCATCTAATTGTTCGCTGTGCACACATTTTGTATATGAGGTTGCATACATTAAGGAGAGTAGCTCGCGTCGCAATAAATAATAATATAAGCTCCTAGATTTATTTTAGCGCGAGTACATTTGGATTCTTTAAATATTTTGTTGATATTTAATATGATTAAATATATAAAATTTTATGTGTTCTGCATCTCTGCAGCTCTTATGGTAAAACCGCCACTGATTGAAAATATATTGTGTTTGTTTGTTTTATACGTTGAAAAAAACAGAATATAGCGTGGTGAACGCCTTCTAAAAAAACATTGCCTTCATTGAGCGCAAACATCTATCTCGTACCATACAGCATATAGAATAAGCAAATGACGCTGATCGAAATCAATTTGTATTCCGCTTCACTTCATAGCGTTGTTTATGACGGTGGTCATGGCAACGAAGTGGTCAACACGTAAGTAAACTACGGCGTGGATGAATGAGTAATGCGGAAATTGAAGCAGCATCGTTATCCCCTTTAAACAGTTTATACAATACGTCGCCCAGTGCACGATTATAATGGTTAATATTCGTTTTGCATAATAATTGTAGAAATATTTCCTATGTACGATCCAGTTTGTATTTATTGGAAACGCCATTTTCCAGATGGAAAATTGAGGAAAAATATGATTTTTTAAATTGCAAGAGATCTGTGCCTTCTCTCGATGTAGAAAAAAGGGGGAAGTCAAAAGACAAAGTGAACTCGTATGTTCGGAAGTTTCGGAATGAATGGTAATCGGAGTATAAGTCATTGTGTGGAAGTGTTTATTTAAAAAAAACTGTTCTGTATGCCGTGTTTAATTGTGGGTGTAAACTCGGGCGTGTGGAATAAGGAGGGATTTTGCAATTTTGTGAACTTCACATGAGGCTATCGTAACCACGAAGCTTCTTTGGAATATATTATACGGTGTGCGTTAAAGTTCGCAGAATTAAGAAGAAACCTCAATACAATCGAATTCGCCGCTTAACATCTGTATCTCTACCTTTCATTAAGTCCACGAGCCGAACTAATATTTCTATTTTTTATAAGATCTAAATGAAAATCCTTCGCGTGAACGTCAGTTTTGCGGTAATATTGCAAATGCAACTAAAAACTTCCAGATACAATACCATAATGACATCAATTTACGAAAGGGAGTTCATCGATTTTCCTTTATGATTTAATCATTATACATAGGAACTTAGAAATGTTGTTCATTCAGAGAATGTATTTCAGGCACTTACCATTCTTTGGGTCACGTGGTGTTTAATCCATGGATTTGTCGTACAGGGTGTTACACTCCACTGTACGGGTCACTTAATTTAAAATGAATAAGAAAACATTAGAACTTCTTAAGGAAGATTTTTAATAACAATGTATAAAATTATAACAAACAGAACAACTACATATAACACAACAGATTGAAATAAACATTATCAATGACTATTTAGCATGCGACATTGTGATTTCAGAAATTGGGGGAATTGTGGACACATGGCAAAATTTGGAATAAAATTAACAAGTTAACCCGAGACTCTAAAGTTAAATAGACCGAACTGTCTGGAAGCCCAAGGAGAACTCCCTATCTGAGATCTCACTGGACTTCAAAATTTTTTGCTTCTATCCCACCCATATGGAGTTGGGAAATCTTGTTATCATCTTATTTGCCAATTCAGACCTTCTTTATGCCTTCAAGTACTTGTTGCCTTGTGGGTTTTATATATAACTCTAATCTTTGACTTCCTTCGCCGTGACCTTGTACGAGAGTGGGATAGTCAATTTTGTGTTAAAGCTATTTTTTGTAACTAGGAAAGCCCCCCTAAAGATCTAGCTCTATATCTCTTTCTTTGTCGTTATTATCTATACAGTCTAACTCTTATTTAAATATATTTATATGGGAGTTCCTACGCTTTTTTGTCCTATTTTCGCAAGTTCGTATGATTAACAAATATGGATTTTTCCCTTCTAGTCTCGAAAAGATGATTGCCAGCTGGCCAAAAATGTTTGCGAGTATTCTTATTCAAAATCAGAATCAGTTGAAATTTTGCACAGATTTTCTTCCTTATGCCAACACTTCTATTGTGTAAGATCCACTACCTGTTCCCACTTTCTATTAGACGACGAATTAAGCTAGACAAAGATATCATGGCTGACATCAATTCTGATATGTTTCTACGTAATATATAGCAGCCTAATTAGCATTGGTGCAAAAACTTTACAAATATGTTACAATCTCTTATATACCAAGTAATGTCTCGAAATTCTACAAAAGTAAAAAATGCAAGAAAGAAATGCTTGGTCTAAAAAATAATATCTTTAAATCTTAAGTGTCCTTAGGAAAAAACTGGAGTAGTTATCAATGTACAATTTTTTTTTATCAAAATTACACAAAATTTCAAAAAAAACAGCAGTGTTATTAATACTAATATTAATATATATTTTTAATTGTTATTTCAACCCCCTGCATCTGGAAGAAACATTTAAATGATTAAGTGACATAAGGAAACTCAATATTTTCAACCAAAGAATATGCAATTATTTTTTTTTATAACATTCTGTAGTTCGTTTAGAAAGTTCATCGAAAAAGAGAAATTTCTATATACATTTTTTCTTTTGGCTATCAGAACTATCTAGAAAAAAATCTTTTATCTTTACAATATTTAAAGCCTTGCTCCTACTTGAACAAAAGTATAAAACGAAATGTTACTTTTCCGTAGCTCTTGTTTGCCACAGAAACATTTGCCATGGGTGTAAATATGCCAGCTAGAACTGTTGTCTTTGATGCTATAAAAAAACACGATGGAAAAGAGCTCCGAGATTTGGCACCAGCAGAGTATATTCAAATGGCTGGAAGGGCCGGTAGAAGAGGCCTTGATAGTGAAGGAACTGTCATTATTTTATGTAAACATGCCGTGCCAGCTGAAGAAAATTTGAAAAAGATGATGCTCGGTAAACCTAGTTCTTTAGTAAGCCAGTTTCGGCTCACTTATGGCATGGTAAGAGTTTTATTTATAATTTAGTTTTTCATCTTGTACTTTATAATTTGTCTTCTTTCAATTTACATACCAGATTTATTTTAGACTGTTGTGTATTTATCAAAATAAGATTTGAATTAAAAATATGATAATGTCATATGAAAAATTCAAAAAACGTCGAGTAATGTACGTGTTGCAGCATACTGCATATTATTCTATTTTTTTAATTAACAGTTTTATCGTTTATAACAGTAACTTAACAAAATTAATTGAAAAATGTTGAATAAAAAAAATAAAATCAACAGTGTACCTGAACATAAACATTCCTTACTTTTTTAAAAATATATTATATAAGTTTATTATAAATGCACGATTTCAATCATTCAATGTGCCAACTTAAATTTCTAGTCACACTGAGATAGCATGTTTTTACCTAAAGATCTGACAAGGAGAAGGTAAGGTAGTCGGATTTTTGTAATTTTTAATATTTATGGTACGTGTAGTTTGGACCTTGAATAAGAATTTTCCGAAGTAGTTCGACGCAACATAAATTATCGAGGTAATCGATTTTGAAGTTTTACCTGACAGCTAAATCCACTAGATGTGACACATTCTTCAACAGGGAGCGTGGCCTAATTGATAGTGTTCAGGACTGACAGTCATGAGATCGCTGGTTCGAGTCCGTCGCATAACATTTTTTTTTTTTTCAAAACGCACCATATGGTTTTTTATTATTTTTTTCATCTCGAAAATTATGAACAAACGAAATATTATAATAAATACTTATGTATATGTAGGAATATTCTTCAAATATTTCATAAAAATGCACAATTGGTTGATAAACAATATTTATTATGAATTAACAATAAAGTTTCTTAAAAAAAACAAACGAGGTCAGGTAGGTTTTTTATTTTATTTTTAGTATTTGACATTTTATGCAGTGTGGCATAAGCCAGAATGATAGTTATCATAGAAACATGGGAAGCGGAAATTTTTTAAGCATCTAGTATGTCGCGTAAATGTTATGTTTTTACAGGCGCATTTTGTTTTCAAAATATCGACGTTGAAGTAAATTTCGTTAACATTTTGAAAGATTGTTCTTTCATCACACAGTTTCGATGCTTCTCTACCCTTTGTGAAATTTACCGAAACTTTTTATGCCCGAGCAGGTGTGTTTTGTAAGCGGTTTTTTTAAACACGGTGGATGACCCACACAACCTAGCTCAAAATGTTAATTAAACACTTGAAGAATATTCCTACATACAGTTCTCATAATATTTCGTTTGTTCATAATTTTTGAGACCAGAAAAAGAAATAGAAAGGAAGCTAGATGCTTAAAAAATTTCTACATCCCATTTTTTATGATAGCTACCATTCTGGCTCGTGCCACACTGTGTAAAATGTCAAATACTAACATAAATATAAAATAAAAGAATATCCTACCTGACCTCGTTTGTTTTTTTTTTTAATGAAATCTTATTGTTAATTCATAATAAATATTGTTTATCAACCAATTGTGCATTTTAATGAAATATTTGAAGAATATTCCTACATATACATAAGTATTTATTATAATATTTCGTTTGTTCATAATTTTCGAGATGAAAAAAATAATAAAAAACCATATGGTGCGTTTTGAAAAAAAAAAA